AAAACCACGTAAGAAACTTATCCTCCTTCACTATAAATCACATCATGCTGACCACGTTAGAAAAAGGTCGTATTATAAGTGAGGGAAAGAAAGAATACACTGAAACTGTTCTTCACGAAACTTCTTCACAGGATCTCTTGATAACCTCAAAACCCTTCCCTTATAAACAGGTACCCAGAACAAAACACCTACAACCTATAGTATACACATGCAAATAACAGAAGCAAAACAAGTGTTTCAGCAAATTACGAACTCCATAACTATATTACCCATTTCATTCATGACGGTAGGAGTTAACACACAACAATCCAAGTAACCAGTGAGAATAACACAAATCTGAGAGAAGAATGTTCAGTATACAGGTGTTTCAAACCAACTTTGCACATGACAAGAACACTATCTATACAAGAGTTAATGATGGAATTCAATTAAAAACCGCTGTTTCAATACTTAAATGTAATGTAATATATATTAGCATATAGCCCGTCAAATATGGCGAGGAAAGTGCTACCACCCCCATCTCATAGTATACCCTAACCTCACATTCCATACCTAACTGAAATATGTAAATTTTGCGAAATCAAGCTTGATCAAAAAAGAGGCAGAAAAGTGCAGTCGAGGCAGTCAAACGTCGGTAAGTTCCTTTGTGAGCCAATCAAAATTAAGATCATTCATGAAATGAATTTGTGGCGTATTCATAGAATAATTATTAGTAAAAATCAACTTCTAATATATAGAAAAGCCAGTGGCTTTTATGTCATATTGCTAAGCAACAAATGTATAACATAATATTGTTGTTAATCTATGTACTGAAAGTATAAAATGAAATGTATAGACAACAAAACTGGAAAAATATTTGTTCATTTCTTAATTTAGAGTCTCCGTTGGTTAAAAAGATTTATTTTTATTAAAAACATTGGTTATATAACAGAAAGTAGCTTAATAAACTATTTAAGCTTAAAATTGAATTGATATTTTTTACTTTTATGAGGAATTTTATGCACTTGGTTCTAGGCTAGGTGATCCCACACTACGTCTTTACTTTAGGCTTATTATACCAACACTCACTACACTTATAAGGTTTCACGGAACCACCACCCCTCACGGCCACCTTGCACTCCCGTCACTAAAATCGTAATGGGCAGACAGTAATCAAACTATTCTATCTGGATAAATACATTTTGGTTTTTATGACTCCCCCTATTTCGAGAAAGCAAGCTTGATGTGACGTGACACACGCTGGGCTCTTATATAGGTTAGATATATTAGAGAAACAGAAGGGGCCTTTCTTTACATGTTTCTCGGAATACATCAGCGCATTATACCAGTTTGAACAAAAGTACTCTAGTCTACCAAAATTAACAGTTACTCTCCCTTTAATATAAGAATCCTTTCTAAAACTCGAGATCTTACAGATACCGACGAATCACTCATTAACGAAAAAAAATCTTAAATAAATATAGACAGAGGATGGTGCCTTTAATTTTCATATAACTTGCATTTATCACATAAATAAATCGTATAGTACTGTTTTAAATAAATCGTACAATAAATTTTTCCTAAAAACAATACTGTAAATGTGTTCCTCTCCAATATACTCTTTTAAATCACAGTTTTAATTTGTTATCATCATTTAGCTTTAGTCACTGATTAGATGATGTCCCCATTCAACGCACAGGAAAGACATGAGGATTACTGGGGAATGACATAAGGGGGCCTAATTTGAGAGCCAACCCTCTATACATTCGAAATTTTGTAAAAAAAAGCAAAATATTAATACGGGAAAATAGAGTATGTTCATGAATAACCTCTCAAAAGTGTTCCAACAGATTCAGATTCAATGGTAGTGTGGTACCATGAACTAGGACGATCCTAAGAAGTGTATCGTTCAACATTACACACAATTGGCTTGTCCCAATGATTTTATTTTCTGTAGTTTTGTGACAGTCAGTATTACTGGTCGTCCAACGTTTCACTTGCGAATGACGTTGAGTTTCATTTGTTTTTCTAAAGGATTTAGTAAAGTGTATACGCCACATGGAACTGAATCAGATAAGCGATACAAGGCAGATGCATGTTCTAGAATTTGATCCCTAACAAATGGGTATAATTTATTTATTGATATTATTTTGGAACATAATATTTGAATATCAGTTAATATGTCTGCCCACCTCAACACTCACTTCAACATGAGTGTGTAAATGTGTAATGCCATTTTCCCACGAGTCTGTGAGTATGTTCATAAAGAACCTCTCAAAAGTATTCAAATAGATTCAGATCCAATGGTAATGTGACATAAGAGGATGAGATCCGAGCGCCGAGATCCGGTGTGTCTGTAGAAATGAGGGGGGTATAAGAGAGCATGTCAAGTTTGGTTGAGATCTGTCAAAAATTGGAGCCATGATAGGTGGAAACATTGAAAGGCATGTGCCCTCTACAAAGTGACAGGGAGGTCAGATCTGAACGGCAGTCTCCTTATGACACACTTATAGAAGACCTAAGGATGTGTGACAAGTTTATTTAATCTAAAACTATAGGCGTTAAAGGCAAACACACAGACAATCAATGGCCCCCGAGGAGTGACACGGAGGTCGGAGTGAATACTGACTCTCCAATGACACTCACCGGGATGCCCTAAGGACGTCTTTGATACTTTATAGACATCAATATAATAGTACGAGAAGCACAAAGGGAACCCTGGGGGATGACATATAGGATAATATCCGATCACCATTCCTATGTTGCTCCCTAAAGGGGTGGGGCTAAGGTTGTATGCAAAGTTTGGTTGAGACTAGTAAAAAATATAGCATTGAAAGGCAAACAGTCTGGTATCGTTCTACAACTGTATGAAGCTTAGTCTTGTTCTTTCGATTTGCTCTCGTCCAGAGTTATTGAAGAGGAGTTGAAGCGCCCGAAACCGGTATAGCTCAGGGACAAGTGGTGAATCAAATAATAGATTAGGCTAAATGTTTAATTTTAGTATTTTAAAAAGCTTGCGAATCTACGAATATAGAGCTTAATTAAATTTTTCACCAAAAGGATAAAAATCTTTTATAGAATGTTTTTGGTCTGGTTGTTTTTAAGCCGATAAGCTATACAATGGTGTTTCTGTGCTCTGACCATCAGAAAACCAAATTATCGAAATTATAGAAACCCAAATTTTAGCGTTATAAAGCCTGCAGATGTATCACCGAGCCACTGGGGAGGTTTTATAAAATGATGAAATATTTCAAATTTAATCAAAATAATTAAACTTATTCAAAACATAAAATTTCTAAACTATAGATATTGTACAGTTATTGTCTACAGTTTGATTGTTCCCAAACTCATTTAAAACATAGAATCGATTAAAACATTTTCTCAGTAAAGGCGTAAAATAAAGACATTCGTGAAAGAATATAAACAAAGAACACAATTCGATTTGGGGGGGGGGGAGGCCCCTTTAAAACACAAAGCTATGCAATGCGCTATCTGTGCTAGCCGTTCCTAACTTTGAACTGATATACTATAGAGGAAAGGTGGCTAGTCGACAGCGCTCACCGCCAAATCTTGGGTTACTCTAATCGAGTAATGCACCCACAACCCCAGAGTGTTTTTCTTTTTTGGGAGGGGGAACGGGACACAAGCCTGGGATCTTCATATCCACAGTCTTACATGTTAACCATTAGTTCACACCTGGCCACGTGTAGTTGAAATCATTATTATACATATCATACACCCTTCTTATTAGAAACCCATATAAATCCAGTAAAGAATTATTTGGTTAAAATTATTGTCAGTCTTATAGTAACTTAGCTCTTTAGCTGGCAGTCTTAAACAAAACAAACTGTTAGAGTTATCTGGCCAAACGTTTCGGTGGAAGAATGGGTCTTCAATCTTCTATTTGATCATTTTTTATAAATCAGGTTTCGATCTGCTAGAATAATCCTGTTGAAAACCTGTTCTAGCAGTTCGAAATTAGTCCTCACTACTGCATACAGGTAAGTACAGAATAATCTAACAATATTTGTGAAAAACCTGTTCTAGCAGTTCGAAATTAGTCCTCACTACTGCATACAGGTAAGTACAGAATAATCTAACAATATTTGTGAAAACCTGTTCGAAATTAGTCCTCACCACTGCATACAGGTAAGTACAGAATAATCTAACAATATGTGTACATAAATTCGGCGAAGAGTGATCTTCACAATGAAACTCGAGAAAAAGCTTTGTGTTCTGCCACGCAAGGTTGTACGTAATTCATTGCGTTAACAAATATTATTCATAAAGGTAAAGTGCTATGGCTTCATCCTTGAAACTCAGCGATCTCATTACTTTAAAAAAGTTATTAAAGATGCCACTTGAATTAAATCCAATTATTTGTAACTCAAGAAATGAAACAACTTAGCTGCTATACAGCATGGAACGCTTTTGAAATGTAACCTCCCCCCTCCCCCCATTAACAAAAACAGCTGGTTACGATGTCATCTTTATTTTGAACCAACAGATGAAGCTGCCAAGTGCTATATGTCTGATCTGTCGATTAGCCTTTATTAAGACGTTTTCTGTGCCTCAAGAGGATATTTAAAATTAGTATTGTTCATTTCGAATCAGATATAGTTCTCGGAGTTTTCTTTTTTAAACACCTGTTAGTAAATGAAAGCTCAACCATCTCCTATTGTCTATCAATATGTCTTGTACAATGAGTATCTATTAGTAGATGCTCCCCAGTAGCACAATTATAAGTTTGCAGATTTATAACTCTAGAAACCGGGTTTCGATTGGTGAGCACAGCACAAATAGTCAATTGTGTAGCTTTGTGCTTTACTACAAACAAACAAACAACAAACCATCAGTAGATACTACTCTACTGTCAGATATGGTTATAAATTTCGCCTAATGATTATAACTCCACAGTAAATCAATAAACCGTTTATTTTGTGGAAATATAATTGAAATACTTCAATGAAAGTATTAGTTTTGAAGGCCTTTAACAATTTTTTTCTAACTGTTATCACCAGATGGCTATACAACAGACGACTTGGTATTTATGTGGAAAGTTGGCGATCCAGTACAAATAACTAAAAACCTCCATCTTCCACGTTTTACTTTGGAGAAGTTCAACACAGAATACTGTACTAGTAAAACAAATACAGGTAAGTACGAGAAATTTTCTTTAGATAATTATTTGAAAGAAACATTTATTAGTTAGGTAATAACACCATTTCCTATAAATGCAAAAAAAAAACACAAAACCTATAAAGCAACAAATTGTAAAACCGAGCACTGGAATTAGACATAAACATTAACCTCTAATCTAGAAATTAAGCCTACAAACTAATAATATATATAGCTTTACGTAAATATGAAGTTATAATAATGCGAATTCCAAGTCATGTAGAAAAACAAGCAATAACACGAGTTATAGTAGTATTTACGTAAACTAAGTTATAAACATTTAATGATTTTATGTTATTACCTTCTCAAGTGGAGGACTGTCCATATACAAAAAACTGTATATTAAGAATTATCTATTACTGTTAGCATGTAAATGAATTAAGTAACAGAATGCTCGGGAATAACAAATTTTCTCTAACTGTTCCAGTTATCAAAAGGTTCTTCCATAAAATTAAAATCTGGGGCTCGATTCCCGATGGTGGAAATTGCACCGATAGCATATTGTGTAACTTTGGGGTGAAAAAACAAACGTCTTTGTTGAACAGATTATATAAGAATATACACGATGGCATGTAGATAAACATCAGGTAAATGTGTGCCATGCAAATCTTGCTCTAAGAAAACATTTTACATATTGAAAACGACTTTGAAACATCTACTATGTTGCCTTATTCAATGGAGATTGAATTGAACTTTTAGTTTACAAATGCAGGAATTTGTCAAACACTGTATTTCAAAACGACATGAATGTTCGATGTTTCGTTCAAAACGACATGAATGTTCGATGTTTCGTTCAAAACGATCTTTTGATCGTACTTTTTATTTTCGACTCACCATGGAGTAACGTTATATCTACCTCATCAAGTATTGTTTATATTTCACTAGACTTGTTTTTCAAGAATGATACAGAGCAAATTCAATGAAACGTAGCCGCGAGCTTCATAATAACGCTACAGGTCTGTAAGTTTATCCTACACTTTTCATTTGACAAAATTACCATATTATATGAAAACTCAGTATTTTCAAAAGGTAGAAATGTGTACATAGAAAATCTGAATATAAAAAAAAATGCAAAGTACTGAGAAATGTTCGAAATATAGTCTGATAATTTGGTTAAATATTTGATATAATAATAAAATCGTCTAAACGCATATTAGCAATTTTGTTCTGGCAATATGCTAAAAGAAGAAACAGATGCTGGTATACAAAAGGACAAAGTTCTTAGAGAGATTCTATTTTGATTGCTTTACCTCTGCTTGATCAGCTACCCAGTTACTGCTGACTCAACAAAAACCGCTTGCTTTGCTAAGAACTTTATAATTACTTCTGTATCATGCTACATTGATTTTTCTTTGAAGAAAACTTTGGGTTATATAGTTTTGCGTTTCGTAAAAACCTCTATCTGTATCTCTCTTGCTTAAATACTTTAACTGTAGATCTTCATGCCTGTCTGAGCAATTCAAGTTTTTCAACTATTTATACATTTTTCGCTAAGTAGTAAAGTTACCCGAAACATATACTGTTGATTCAAAGAAACCGAGTACTTCAACTTTACATATCGTTAACTTAGGCAACAGACAGTAAACATCTGTTTGATTACAGTCAAATGTATTATTTATTTCACAGTTTCTTTCACAGATTGTTTCATTGGTTACTTATGTTATAGGATTGCATTACATTTCAGTATCACCGATGCATAATAAACATAATATTACTCATTCAAAATCTACAGTAATATATTTACCATTTTTTACTGACTACTGTTTTATGAGATGACAGTAGGTTTATAAGGATTTGTTTGTTGTTTTTTACCGCAAAGTTACATAATGAGCTATCTGAGCTCTCTCCACCGCTGAGAATCGAACCTCGAATTTTATCGTTGTAATAAACGTACCGCTAACCCATCAGGGGACGTTTACAAAAACAGTACGTAGATATTAATTTGCTAGTTTATTACAGTTTATTTTCAAAGTTAAGATAAGATAACAACACATTAATTGCTTCTCAAACTTATTAACTCTATGTATCTCAAAAACCTGCAGCTCAGGTTTTGAAAATGTTTCTCGGTCTTTCTTCAAGGGTTGTAAAACTTTAAACGTTTGTTCACTTTTCCATCCAACATTCTTAATACTGCCACTTCACTTCCACTATTACTTTTCCATTTAATTTCAAAAATATTTCGTGCTAAGGATATTCCAGAAAATTAACTTGCGTAAGTTCATGAGACTCTCAGACATTTACTTAATTAGAGCACTTCTTGTTTTGTTACCTTGTTTCTTGAGTAGTTTTTCTTCTTAAATTGACACGTGCCTTTGTTTTAACATGTTTAACTAACTCCAGAGAGGGACGGAATCGTTAAGTATATATTAGGATACTTTGTCATGTTTTTAAGCCGCTGTATTTTGTGTAAGAAATGATCCCTAAAATCTTGTTTGTCTGAGTACGTTGAAACTCAAGTGCAACTACATAGAACATGATACGGGCCACGTGCAATTTATTTGCTTGTTTAAACAAGAGGGAATCCTCAACAGCCGCAGGATTAGAGTAAGCTAATCTATGAGACTTTTCTTTTTCCCACTCCCTTATGACCTTCCACATGCCATTCTGTATTACTGTGTCAACTTGTGCTGATTTGGTAGTTTTCCGAAATTAGATAGGGGTCACACACCCGGTGATCCAACCCCATACCTTCTGTGGAAAAAAATAGATTACAAAGGTTTCATTGACACTAAGAATGTGACGTCAGAGACATTAAATCTGAGTACGCTGATTCCATATCTTTATAGGCCTACTATTATGAAGACTGAAACGTGCAAACAAACAGACACAAACTTAGCTTTGTACATTAAATATTTTTGTGCACTAGCGATAGCAAGCGTGGGGCGAGGGTATACCCGATTCGATTTTATTACTCATTAGGATCTCTACTAGCCCACCCTCAAATTGAAATTATTTTAGGCAGGATTAGAGTAAATTAATCTATGAGACCTTGGGCATGGTCAAATACATCAATCAAAAGGGTTTAATCACCTGGGTCCAAAATTGTAATTAGACTTCAAATTGGTCAAGAGATATCGGAGCTATAAGCTAAAAAACAAAAACTCAGAGCCATTCTATTAGCCGCTGTGCCGCGGCTTAAAATGTGTTACAGAGAATAGAAACGTATATCAGAATGTATTAATTCAAACTTATACAAATAGTTGTTTGTTTAATTTTGCGCAAAATTACTCGAGGATTATATGTACTAATCGTCCCTAAGACTAGAGGGAAGGTAATTTGTCAACACTAACCTCTACTAACACTTGGGTTGCTCTAATATGTGTGATTTAACCGTTACTTTTATAACGGTAAAAGGTAACGGAACCTCAGGTGTATAATCCGGCACGCTAACCACTGGGACATGCTTATAGAAATAATATCAAACATCCTACATTTTTACTGGTTTATGTCGCAAAATCCAATAACAATAATGAAGACTGAATTTGCAAAGGAAAGAGTTTGACCTCCTGAATCCAAAAACTGTAATTAGATCTCAAATCTGTCAAGAGATGACAGAGCTAGGAGCTAAAAGTTTGTGCTTCAAAAAAAAAAAAAAAAACAACTCAGAGCCGTTTTATGAGCCACTATGCCGTGGCTACAAAAAAGGAGTGATTATTTATTTAACATTGGTAACTAACTAATGCTCTTTGCAAAAGTGAATTTTTGCAAAACCTTAATAATTTCTTTTTCAAAAAAATAGTTATTTAAAATGTTCATATATCTTGATTGGCCAAATAGTCTGGGACTCTTAATACACGTTTTCCTTACCAACGTTTGGTTGAAATTCCGTAGTGAATTATGTTGCGAATTTTATCTTTGGTGATTCTGGGTGGGAAAATATTCCTTAAATTTGCTAATGATTAACTTTTGAAACACATATTCTACATATATAACGGAGTTCTCCGTCTGTCTGGCTATCTAGTGTCACAAATTGTTGTGGGGGGAACTGACTTAACTGAATTGAAAGATGGAGTGAAGTGGATAAACAATCAGATTCGTCTGGCGTCAGCTTTACGCATTTTACTGCAAACCTTCTCGCTCATTAGAGTTGTAACTCGCAGTATTAAAGCAGTAACATTGAAATGGCTGCAAAACTCGAAACGTTCACTGCTTAAGTACCTATATATCACCTCCGTCACAGTATACTAATATGGTGGCGTGATATATAGGTACTTAAGCAGCTCCGTCACAGTATACTAATATGCATGTCTTCTGATAAAGTTAAAAAGATAAGTGTTTGCTGATTAAGTCTCATTGGTTAAATACAAATATTATGATTGTTCGATGAGACTCCAAAATATACAATTTGAAAAAAAAAATACATCGTTGTGTTGTTTGTTCACTTTTCCCTTGACTGTAATATTTAATATTAACTTATGTACAATAACCAGCCCTAAATGCTTCTGTTGTCTTCTTTTTCTTACGCAACTTCTGTATGTTTTATTCACGTATCTTAGGTGAGTACAGCTGCATCCGAGTGGATCTAATCTTCAAGAGAGAATTCAGTTATTACCTAATTCAGATCTACATTCCTTGCTGCATGTTGGTTATTGTTTCCTGGGTCTCCTTCTGGCTGGATCAGAATGCAATTCCTGCGCGTGTTTCACTTGGAGTAACTACGCTCCTAACCATGGCAACTCAAACTTCTGGTATCAATGCTTCTCTTCCACCTGTGTCCTACACCAAAGCTATCGACGTTTGGACTGGCGTATGTTTAACATTCGTGTTCGGTGCACTATTGGAGTTTGCCTTGGTCAACTACGCCTCGCGTTCACACATGCAAAAACAGGTAGCAAAGCAACAACGTAAATGGGACATTGAGCATTCTAGCTTGGATAATGACCATATGGAGGATGGGGCTACCACCTTCGCCATGGTAGGAGATGTGGTACTGAGGTCATTTTTTATATTTACATAAATTTATTATATTAAGTTCTCATAAAAGTACTAAACAAATTTTTCAGTAATTTCACAAAATAGAAACGTTAAAAATATTTGGTCAACCAAATCATTCATCTTGTAGTGGATAGTTTAATACTGTAAACAAATGTAAATCAAACAAATTTCAAATAATTGTTTTGTAATAATTAAATACGATGATTCGGAAGATACATGTTTGATTTTACAGAGAGAAAAACACTAAAGTGTGAGGCAAAAGAAGTATAAGATGAAAAGTTCCCATTTCTTAAGAAAATATCAGCATAGGCACAGCTGTGTTTCCTGAGAGGACAATAATCATCACATGATAGTCAAACTACAATTATAGTATTTTGGCACTTGGGTATAAAGTTAAAATCATAAATAATATCCAACGTTAAACTGGTACACAATTAAAAACATTTTATTTAGGCCTATCTATGGCCTTCAATAAGTTGGCGACTCTACATGTTTCAACGTTACAGCGTCATCCTAAGAAGTTTTTATTTATGATTTTAAGTCAAACTACAGTTAAATACACACACAGGGGCATGAGTGTAGTGTAATCTTCATGTTCGAAGTGTACTTGACCACCTTCTATAATGAGGAAAAGAAAAATTATTTGTCTAATACTTTTTTGTTTCAATTACATTTAAAATATTATACAGAATGCTACAATAGTAAATAAAACAGGAAATGTACGAGCTCTACGTCATAACTATTTTAATTTCTGATCACAAATTTCACACAGCCATCTAATCAGCAACTGTAACATCATTTGAGTATATAAAGTGAGATGATCACAAATTTCACACAGCCATCTAATCAGCAACTGTAACATCATTTGAGTATATAAAGTGAGCTGATCACCAATTTCACACAGCCATCTACTCAACAACTGTAACGTCATTTCAGTATATAAAGTGAGATGATCACAAATTTCACACAGCCATCTAATCAACAACTGTAACATCATTTGAGTATGTAAAGTGAGCTGATCACCAATTTCACACAGCCATCTAATCAACAACTGTAACGTTATTTCAGTATATAAAGTGAGCTGATCACAAATTTCACACAGCCATCTAATCAACAACTGTAACGTCATTTCAGTATATAAAGTGAGATGATCACAAATTTCACACAGCCATCTAATCAACAACTGTAACGTCATTTCAGTATGTAAAGTGAGCTGATCACCAATTTCACACAGCCATCTAATCAACAACTGTAACGTCATTTGAGACTTACTGTTTGTGTACATAGAAAACCAAAAACACTTAATGGCCGCTATTCCAATATTGATATATATATAGAAACTTAAAATCTGAGTTTTGTTTTTGCTGTAACTATGGTATTTGCTTCATTTTCTTCCAACTAATGAAATAATGTAAATTATTTACTGCGAACATTATTTCTTATGTCTATTTTAATAAAATATTTTCTGTTATCAACATAATTTAATATATTACCATTTTTAATGACAAGGCCGCCTCAGTGGTTCAGCGGTAAGTCTGCAAACTTATGACGCTAAAAATAACAACCAATTACTGGCATCTAAAATATTTGTAGCTAACACTTGTATACACAAATATAGATTTTTTTCTTGGAAAAGTGACATCTGTCGTTTAGATGTCGCATTCAGGCTCCTTTTCGACAATTACAATTATTTTTTCATCATTAGTCTTGTCTAATTTTGTGCCCATGGTTATGCTGGGTTGTTCGTTTGAGATACTTGCATTTTATTGTGTTTATTTATTTTGTTTATTATGAACTTGAACTTAAGAGGTTGTACATACACCAAAAATACCTATAAATGAAGATTATAGATATTTTTTATAGTGTTCCTATCTCGCCTGATATATCGGATTAATAAGTTTACTCGACTGACTAATTAAATGATGATACAACTTTTTCTTTCCTGGTTTAAATCTCGTCTTTAATCACAAACATTAATTCTGCGTTTGTTAAGCCAAATATGGAGAGCTTGTAGAATTACAATGCTCCTGGGCCAAACAGAATTTTTCCAAAGAGTTTGGATGAGGTTAAGAATTATATATATATGATCCACTTGCCATTATTTTTGTAAGTATTTGAATACTGAGCAAGTGCTAGAGGATTCAAAGTTGGTTTATATTACTTCTATTGAACAGAGAAGTGATACAATTTATGAAGGTAACTATAGGCCTGTTAGTCTTACATCAGTGATGGGAGAAGCTGTTAAACTCTGATAAAAGATGCTTTGCAAAGTCATTTAACACAGATTAAAATTTTGTTGGGTGATCAACATGGTGTCAATAGGGGAAATGTTTTCCTTACTAATTTTTTTACATTAATTTTAAAAATTATTACTTGCTGATAAGTGGAAAGGTGTGGATTTCGTATATCCATATTTTCTGAAAGCATCTGACAAAGGGCTACATAAAAAGCTTATTAAAAGATTTGGAGAGAAGAATGCAGAGGATTGTTATAAATGAAGTTCAGCCAAACTGAATTTAGATCATTTGCTTACTTGGGCGAATAATTGGCGGATCGTATTTGATTATAATAAATGCAAGATAATGCGTGTGGGAAATCATAATTTTAACTGTAAGTATAATTTTGATGGAAATCACCTTAACAGTGTTGTGGAAGTAAAGGTTCTTGGTGTTTTCATTCATCAGTTTCAGCTAAGCAGTGTGTTGTTGCAAGTGGTAGGAAAAATAGGATGTTGGGTTATTGTATTTGCAGAAATATTGAATACTGGTCTATCATTTAATGTATAAATCACTGATTGGGCTTCATTTAGAATATTATGTTCAGTCTTGGACCCCGTACCTTAGGAAGGACCTTGAATTGTTGGAAATGGTTCAAAGGAGAACTATGCTAGGATAATACCTGGGATGGTAAGGTTATAAATCATACAAAGACACTTGAAACGATTTTGTTTTGGAAAAAGAAAAGTTAGAGGGAATCTGATTGAGATGTTCAAGATTATAAAGGGAATTGACAGTATTGATGCATCATCTTTTTTTTAGCATTTAAAGGTGAAAATGGAAATACAAGAGGGCACAAATATAAATGTGGCAGGGTAGGAGTCATCCTTTGCTTACAGACAGTTTTACTTCTCTAACACGGTGGTTGTCTTATGGAATAGCTTGCCTTCAGATGTGGCGAGTGCACTTTGTTTCATGGAGTTTAAGGGAAACCTTGATATATATTTAAATGATCAAGGCTGGATTTGAGTTTATTTGTTCCTAAAATGGATAGGATAGACTTGATGGACCTACAGGATCCTTGTTGTCCATTAAAATAGGATAGACTTGATGGACCTACAGGATCCTTGTTGTCCATTAAAATAGGATAGAGTTGATGGACCTACAGGATCCTTGTTGTCCATTAAAATAGGATAGACTTGATGGACCTACAGGACCCTTGTTGTGTTATTTGTTTCGTTTATATCTATTTTAATTTTCAAATACTTATTTTTATAAATACGAATTATCATTATTACGTGTAACTGTTACTCATATTGTGTTTTATGAAATCAGTTATTGTATTTGTCTTAAGTAAAAACATCTAAAATTTTCGAACACATTTCTATAAAACTAGCTGCATTACTTCATTTTTTCTATTATGTACTACAGGTACTTAGTTATTCAATATCTCTGTCCGTTAGATAAATAAATGTAACTCAATGGATTTACATCTCTCGAGAACGTATTGTCTTTAATTCTTTGTTTCGATATCTAAAAGAGCGATTCTTTTTTTTCAGAAACCTCTCGTCCATCATCGTGGTGACTTGCATTCTGATAAGGTTCATCAGTGTGAAATTCACATGCAACCTCCTAAGAGCATCAACCCTTGCAAGGCCTGGCTCAACAAATTCCCATCCCGCTCCAAGCGGATTGATGTCATGTCGAGAATCCTGTTTCCTCTCATGTTCGCTCTTTTCAACCTGGTGTACTGGATAACCTATCTTTTCCGGGATGAAGACATGTGACTCTTTTAAAATATTGTCAAGTGCGTGAGACAGTTATCTAACAGTACGAATAATTTAGAAATGTTGTTCTAACAGATTTGGAAAAACAAGAAACTGTTTTCTCTCTGTATCAATCATTTTCTTAAAAAAATATTCAATCTATTATTCATAAGGTTTTATCAACTGTAACTACAACAATAGTGTAACTAAATCCAAACACAATATTGATCTTTATGTTGTCCAGTACGGCTTTCATATCTTCCGAAGGCTCAGTGGTATTGTCTGAGGGCTTGTAATGTTAAGAATCGGGTTTCGATACCCGCGATGGGCAGAGCACAAATAGCCGTCTGTATAGCTTTGTACTTAATAACAACAACGGCTTTCATTTCTTTCCGTGTGCCAGCTTCATCGTGTAAACAAATGGAGAGAGAAAGTCTGTAGACATACTGTGACTTTACAAAGCTGTGGCTCATTAGTATGAACTTTGGACCTGGTCAGGGGAAGAGAGGTGCAGGTTGTGGGGAAAAAGTCTACAGCTAGACCAACGTACTTTGACGTTACAAAGCTGTGACTCATTGGTGTGAACTGTGGACTTGGCCAGGAGAAGAGGGGTGCAGGTTAAAAAATGGTGGCTCCTGTTGGAGAATGATGGCAATAAATAACTAGCCCAAGTATCGGACGTCACTCTCATATGATAAATTGGCGTTCGTCAAATTCTCATAGTTGTGTAATATTACACCAGATGTCGTCAACATTTTGTTGACAGTTGAACAGGATATAAAACAAACATTCGAACAAACTTACAACCCGATATTTCATAGATATTTCGTACTTACTTAATTCCAATGAAGCAATTGATGTAACATTTTGAAAAAGGTTTGAAGAGTAATCTTTTCAAGTAATTTTTAACTCAGCTGAATTTCCAATAATTCGAAAACATAAGTATTTGTCTCTTAATAAACATTTTTATTCAACAGCATATTTCAACACATAGATATTTCATTGTAAACCTTATAATTAGTTTAATCTTGTATAAATCTATTCATTAACTTCAAAACATTTCACACACGCATACAGATTGTTCATTAAAGATAAATTTCAAACGTGATGAGCTGATATGTAGCATATTTAGTTTTAAATTATTAATAATTTGGTTGCAAATCGTGATTCCTAAATTTTTCATATGAACAAGAAGTCTTGACTTGTACGTTGTAAACCTGTCACTGCTCATGTCTCTTGAATACGTCTCATGAAAAATTAGTTGTGACCCTCAAACTGGAAACTCGTCGTATATCATACTTCCTGAATCTGTTAGATATTATCATATGAGCAATCAGTCATCACTGATGAATTATTAACATTTCATGATTCATGCCTTTTGAATCTGCCATGTAAACAAAAAGGAGTGACTCCCAAATTGTACACCTGATATGATTCATGCCTCTTAAGTTTTTTATAAGTGTCTCCGAATTGTAAACCCTTCATGGCTCCAAAGTCTGGTACATGAACAAAAAGCCGTGTCTTTGTATTGTACAAAAAGACATGACTCGCAAATTGTACACCGATATGATTCAAGCCTCTTAAGTTTCTTACATGAATGAGAAAGCATGTCTCCGAATGAAGGTAAACCCTTCATGTCTCCTAAATCTGACACATGAGCAAATAGTCGTGTCTCCAAATTGTAAACCTGTCATAGCTCATATCTTTTGAATACATTAGATGAACAAGAAGATGCGACTTATAAAACGTAAACCTGTCGTTTTCCAACAGAAGCTGCCTTAGAATCAGTCTTTAGAAAGAATATATTTTCCAGTTATAGTAGTGCTTCTTTAAGAACAGTCGAATGATTCTTTTATAAGCACTCATTCATATTTGTTTTCGGTCTACAAAAACTAATCTTTGTATGCATTTTAGCTCCAGGCTTTAGTATGTACAACCAATCCCAAAGGTTATTGTACAGTTATGTATTTCAAGTGATATAACACCAGAACAAGTAGTTTTAAAACATAGAGTGTAGCTTCTTTTTTTTCTTTACTTACAAAATCACATAGTTGGCTACTGTTAGATAATAGGCTTCAGTTCTCTGGAGAACTTACAGCTTCGTTATGAATTAGCATATTCACCAATTCTGTTCTTTAGTTGAAGTTTTTTCTTGTCGGAGAGTTCCGATAAAATATTTATAAATTTAGATATACTTTCCTTTTACGTATAGATTATGTGAAAAATATAGCTTGGAATGCATAGATTTTAGTAAGTAGATGAAGAAGACATAAATATTTACTTAGGCTTTCAAGTATATCACAAAACCAACTACTGCTATATATTCTAGCTTAAAACAGAAAGTAAGAGGCTAAGGACGTATATAAAGAGAGACTATGTGTTCAGGGTCTTCAAAACTTTTATTTGATTACACGTTTCTGATTATAGCTTTTAGGCGTTTTGAAATCAAATCATTAAGTTTGTCAAACTTTTCTGAAATGTTACTTTATATTCACTTAGTTTGATCATTCAAAATTCGATGTATATCTTAGAGTACCTGCATTTTTGAGTTTTATTTTATTTCGGCTGTAATATAAAACTAAACCGACTGTGATTCGTATGTATAAGAGATTTAGCCATGTATTCAGCGAAAATAGGTTTTTCTGGAAAAAAAAATGTTCATGCTCTAATGTTTTCTCTCAGACGCTATCTATGATAACTCTCAGCTTCAAAAAATCTTAATGTGCTTCCAGTTTTTTATTCCCATCAAAGCTTATGTGTTATATTTTTTTGCTTATTTCGCTATTTGCCTTTTTTCGTTTTTTATGAAGAATTCTACAGCACATTATTTCCTTCTCCAGGCTTAATATTATCTTCTGACTAAATTCTTTTCCCACCATCCTTTGTTTTAAAACGTACGCTACAATAGCTTATACATTTCTTTCTAACAAAGAAAAACGATAACTGTACGTTGAGAAATAAGTCGCTTTATGTTATGGTTTCTACAGAAAATGGAAGCACAGAAATGAATTTGAACTCTAAGCTTATATATGTGTATCACGCGGAAAATTCTGTATTTTTTTTATGTTAGTTTTCAGACAGCAGTCCCCCCGTATTTTGATAGCAATTGTATAAATTGTTTCTTGCGAGTGATTTCAGCAATAAAGTAATGGTAGATTATCTACATGATGTACTTTAATTTCATGTCCTTAAAGTGTTGTACTTATAAAACATATGTATAATAAGTGATAACGTTGCTAGGACTAATGACTTCAAATAAGACAACATGTATAATTTATACAACATACAATTCATGTGAAACATGTTCCACTGTAATTCCGAAATTATTTATCCATTGCTCTTTTAGTATTTATTTGTTGTGTGCCCTCCCAGTGGCACAGTGGTATGTCTGCGTACTTATATCGCTAGAAACCGTGTCTCGATACCCGTGGTGGTTTAGCCCTTTGCGTGTAGCTTTGTGCTTAGTAACAATAACTCTCTGTTTGATAGAAAAGGCGTTTAAGCGTATGCGGAGGAGCCTTCCATATTTTAGTTTCAAGATGCGCGAGTTAAAAACTGTTCTGTTAAAAAAAGGTTGTACATAGCACATTTAAAAGCGATATATTACTTAGTTATGTGTTAAGATTTTTTGTTGTTTTGATATATACACACTTAAAAGTAACACATTACGAGAACCGAGCATGACTTAGTAGTTAGCGCGTCGGGTTACGGGTCAGAAGGTCCAAGATTAGTGCCCTGATGTCGCTGAATAAATTCCATACTTTTAGCTGTGGGTGCATTATAAGAGTAATATTATTCGATTCAAAGACCTCCTGGCGGCCAGTACTACTGCCTGGTTGCCTCTGGTCTGTAGTACAAAATTAAGGACTGCTATACCTGAACACTAGGGGTATTGGATCTGGTCGACAGGTCAAAGTGTCGCGTAAAGTGACGGTCAAGTGGAAAATACCAAATACTAACACAATACAAACTTACCCTTCTTCCAGACTTGTCCTTTAATTGTTAAGCGTCAGGGATACGTCAGGAGACGTTACCCCATATAAATCAGTTGTTTTTAAACCACTATTTAGATACAGATATTCCTTCTATCGTTAGATCATTCAGCGCTAACTGAATATTGTCCATAAAGTAAAACTGTACTACAATTATTATTTAAATTCGAAACTCTGTGGTATTATTGAGAAGTCTAAGTAATTTTTCAAGAGCTTTTCAACTTATCTCTGTCTAGAAGGTTTTCGCTGAATTAATATGCTGAATATACTGAAGGGATATCTACTAAACCAGGCTTAAGTGTACATTGTAAACCCTGTTTATTAATAATTTATATATTTTTCACAATAATTTGCTTCAGAATGTAACAATGTTTTTTCAAAGTATAATTTTTCATCTGTCGTAGCTTTGCTCTAAGAGATGTCATGCATATTAAAAAAAGGTTGGTAACAACAGAGGTATTACAACTGTTCCACAATTCTAAATTAGTATATAGTTTAAGTGGTAGTTTTTACTTTTAGGCTTGCCTCACATCCCAAAATATGTCTGTCATTTCCTTTTGTATAACTAGTTTGTATTTTCATAGTAATCTCAACTTTTATGAATATATTTTATACCAAAGCTGCTTTCATCCAAACTTGATGCTTTGGTCTCGGGTACCACAGCTCAGGTTGTGTTTAGGAAAAGACTTGTCAAAGTTAAATGTCTTTTCTTATGCCAGAACATAAGCATTACCACATTTCAATTTATATTGAACCTTCCTCAATTGTAAGTATCGTTTGCATGATTTAAATATTTGGTTAAATAGATGTGTGTTTATTAAGCGTCCTACTTTTAGATACATTAACAAATCTCAACATTATAGTGACGTGTTATCATATTTTAGTTTGTTCTCTATAAAGTAGGAAGTTATTAGTGTTTTGTAATGCTGCAGGAGCACCGCTCCTACATCTTAAATTGGAGCTGAGTCTTGACACTTCAAAAACTAAAAATACGTTATTAAGTTTACACCCAAAATTAAGTGTATTTCATAATCAAACTCTCGAAGTGTCGGAGAACACTCTTGTTATTTGTGACTCCCCGTGTCCACTAGTGAGAGCTCTCTCAGACCTTCTGGCACGCACTATCACTCTCTCTCAGGAGCTGGCGTCAATCACCGCGCGGCTGCTCCAGTTCAAGAGCAAGTGTCAGAGCGTTAAAATAATGAAACGTTTTTACCATATGTCACATGGCTTCTAAGACACATGAACATGGTGTTAAAGCTCTTAATAGAATACATTTTACACTGTGTGTTTAAAGCGTACACGTTTGTAAAATACATGCTATTTACATAATATACAAGAATGGTTGGCTTTTTTTAGTTATTGATGTTGGCAGAGCAGAGCACGTGCAGAGCATTATAAAAGTCAAAATTGTTAATACGTTAGTGCATTAGAAATATAGTAAATTAATAATATGTGTGTTTTTTAAACTTGTTTTAATGTTAAGTTATTTGTACTGGTACCTAGTCGTTGTTGTTGTTGTTGGTGTTTTATTCCTTCCGGCATAATTTAAAGGAATTTCGGTCGCGCGTTTTCTCTTGGTATTCAGTTTAGTATTAATGTAAGTAGCCTCTAATAACAGTGCCGCATATGCATTTTTTTTTATTTAAAACGAATTCACTAGAACGAAAATTAGGTCTGACAAATTTTGGCAGGGTTTCAGCACTACAAAATTCAGCCCTTCACCAGTGGTATTATCACTAAGCCAAATAGATGATGGAGTGGTGGAATAATAATGTAAATAAAGAGTTGAGTAGATATGCGTAGGTACTTTAGTACTCAGGAAAATTTACAAACATACACACGCACACATTGAGTTTTTTTGTAGATCAATGATTACAATAAACGAGCAAATTTTCCACACGCTTGATGCAAAG